CTCCGATCGAACGGTAGCTCTTACGTATTACTTTAATCAGCCTCCAAGAAAAGAAAAAGAAAAAGAGAGAGAAAAAGAAAGAAAGGGAAAGAGAGAGAGAGAGAGAGAGAGAGACGGGGAGAGAGGGAGAGGAGAAAGATAAAGAAGAATAAGAAGAAGAAGCTGCTGAAGCAACAGCAGCAGAAGTAGCAGGTGCTGTTCCGAAGGGTACGCGTCCGAAGGCAATCACAAATACACTAACACGATAACAGATCTCACTCAGACTTTCTCTTCTTCTTCGTCGATGACACGTTCGGTGTCTTGCGGAGTGGAAGAAGAAGAAGAAGAAGAGGAAAGTAAAGAATCTGGCGAGTGTACACGCGTGCTGTGGCAATGTTCGATCTCGAAACGCTTGACATATTTATTAACTCACGCTTCTTATCGACAGGAATCGCTTTTTATTCCGGGCTCACTTGCAAAAATTGATTAAAGGAAAGGGAAAAAGTTTGTGAAATCTATATACATATTTATACTGTTACGAGGATTGGACCGCCCATGTTGATTAAACAAAAGAGAACGAATTCTTTTAATGAAAAACAAAATTAAGATAAATGCGTATCGATAAGCGTATATACATACATATATATATATATACATTTTTTTTTGTTTTATATATATATATATATATACACCGCATTCATCTTTGTTTGTTTTTATTTAAAGAATTCATATATATATATATATATATGTATATGTATATATGTATGTGTGAGAGGAAAAAAAAGAGAGAAAGAGTGAGAGAAAGAGATAGCAAAAATCGTATTATGAAAGTTTTATCGGCGCCTTTTTTATTTACTTGTGGTTTATCCTGCCGACGAGTTGGCCGATCGTCGAGTACAGAAGCGCTAATTGCGAGCCGCTTTGCGAAAAGTCGGCACGCACGTAATCACGTACGTACACGCATACGAAAAGGGGTACACGCAAAAACGGAGAAAGAGTAGAAGAAAAACATTGGCGATGTGTATGCCTCGTTAAAAGGCGGTTCCCTAAGGCGGTCTCGCCCGTTATTCGCGTATCCCACCAAAACGAAATTCAACGAAATTCCAGAAAGAAAAAAAACAAAAAAACAAAAAATATCTTTCCAAAAGAGCAAGTAAAAGTGGACTTTTACGATACCTCTCGATCCGTTTCACTATCTCCTCTTTCATTTTATAAGTACTATTAATTTACGTCGATGTCTAAAAATCTATGTTTCGAGTTTAATAATTTGTTTTCTTTTTCTTTTTCTTTTTCTTTTTTTTTTTTTTGTTTTCCTTGAAAAATTTGACGTTTCAAGAGAATTGAGATTATCTTTAACGATCGTCGATACCTCGTAAACCTTCGATGTAGATGTGAAAAATAAAAAGATTATAGTATTATAAAAAAGAAATAAAAAATATTTTCTATTATATTTTTACAATGATCTTAGTAAATCAATTTTATTACGTCTCTTTTCGATTTGTAAATAAGTCTCTTCTAAGATATTTTCTTTCTGTCTTTTTTACGTGTCTCGGACGGCGACAGCACTTCTTACCACTTATAATAACATTCCAAAACACGTAAATACCGTCGAGTGGCACGAAGGACTCTGCTGTAGGTCTGCACTGGGGTCGGTCAAAAATCCCAAAGGACTAGACGTAAGACGACCTTTCCGTAGGATCCTGGCTCCGAAGAATCCTTCACGGTCTCTCTTTTTCGGCTTCAACATCAACTCTCTTCCTTTGGGACACGTCCAAAGGCGTCTCCGCCGTTGGGTGGAGACGACGAGACTTTTACGTCGTGCTCCTCCTCTTACGAGAGGACCTCTTTCTACGAGCATACTTCCTTTCCTCTTTGTTTCTACCGACTGAAAAAGTAGAATCGTCTTTTTTCCTTTTTTCTTTCTTTCTTTCTTTTTTTTCCCTCTTTTTTCTTTTTTTTTTTTCTTTTTTTTTTTTTTGTTTTTCCTTATGATCATCGTAGGAAAAGAGATTGAACAATTTCATGTAATATTTACAAAAGATATTTATTGTCAATAATAACAACGAATTATTATTCTTGTATATTCGATCATTCTTTTATTATAATTATTATCGTACGATAATATTAACAATAATAATAAAAATATCTATTATTATTCGAACTTTGATATCGATCTTCCCATATGAAATAATATTTTTAATATTATTATAAATATTGAAAGTGATATAGTACGTAAGAAAATATTTAATTAAAAAATATTTACTCGTGAATTTATACGTCAAGGATATGGACAATGTTGATGAGACAGATTTTAAAATGGAAAAGTTAGGCGTCAAGTGAAAATCGATTCGTTGCTTCATATAATCGAATCTCTTAAAGGTTTAACAGCGGGTAAACGGAGATTTACTGGCGGTATATGTTAATGATGCCTACTCGAAGAGTATTAGCTCGTGCTCGAGCAACGTAGAAAGAACTCGATCGTAAAGATCGACATTTTAATGCTCGAGCGAAAAAGCTGAATTCTTTTTCTTTTTATTTTTAAGACAACTGACACGATCTTTGTGCCAATTAAACGAAAATATATTTTCATGGCCATTTACGATTTAACGTTTCTCTTCTATTTATAATACGAGATTATGAATATGGGGTATATAATCGTACATCGTCACGATCATCTCATATTTCTCGCGCAATTTTCTTAGAGAATCTCATTTTCAAAAACATCTTTATTAAACATCTGTCCGCACCTGCCTATTTACCATCGACAAAAATACTTCGTAATTGGAACCATTGGGTATTAATTTTTTAGTAAACTATAATTTTACACAACTATATATTTTATGTCGACTGAAATTATTCTAATTTTTGTCAAATTTCTTTGAACGAGAGGTAACAACGAGGAGGAGAAAGGGAAAATAATTGTACCCATTGAATCTCATTAAGATAAAATATATTTAGAATGAAGATATCAAATGAAATAATATGATGTAATAACATTAAATAATGCAATGTAAATATTTTTATTATTATCGCATCGTTAATATATATATATATATATATTTTTTTTTTTATTGCTTTCTCTCGAACAAAGAAAATGAACATCTTTTAAGTAATCCTCAATAACGATATATTTTGAAGGAATTCGATAAGTTAAAAGAAACAATTGAGAAAATTCGATTCAATTAAAATGATACCAACATCGAAAATACGACTTTAACTCGATAATATTTTTTGTTAACTTTTATAGAAGGGAGTCTTTTGCTTTCTCGTTGGACGCCATGTCGATCTGGATATAATGATCGAAACAAATCAGGAAGCGACAGTCCTCGTTACTTGAAGTCCTTTTAACGCGACACGGGTACGGCTTTGTGGCCACGGTAAAACTGACCTCTCTTCCTCTCTACTCCCCCTTTTCACCATTCTCCTACCCCGTTTAAAACGATAATCAGATACGCTTTTAAAGAATCTCAAGTAGCCACGTGGCATCGTTGCCCTTAGAAGGGCTAACGAGTCACGATTCTTACCTTCGCACAATTTCACGACTTCGGCTTTCGTTAACCGGTTAGTTCTTTGGTGAACGATAAAAGACCAAAGTACCATGTCTACCCAAAACCCCTTATACTCCTCCTCATCTCCACCTCCTCCACTCCACTCCACTCCACTCCACTCCACTCTTCTCCGCTCCTTTTCTCTTCTTTCCCTTTCCTTTCCTCTCCTTGCTTCCTCTCATTTCATGGTCTGTAACAAGCGAATCGCTTCGAGCTATCGAAACGAACGTTCGAAGGAGAAAGAGAAAAAGAGTTTTCGTTTCGACGACGTTTCGATTCCCCATAAGATTTCCACTAGCCACAAATTACAGTCGAGTAAATCCTTAACACGCGAATACGAGACAGCTTGAACTACCGTCTCGAATTTGCATGTTGTTACGCACGAAAATCGTGCTCCACTTCGAGCAAATTCATATTATCATTTTTATTTCATTCAAGCACGAGATTGTCCGTTATCATTTTTATACATGATTTTTTTTTGTTTTTTTTCTTTTTCTTTTTTTTCTCTTTTTTTCTTTTTTTTTCATCACATATTTCACTATTAACAAGATACATCATTAATGCTATGAAATCAATCATAAAAATGAAGTTTGATAAATAAAATAATAATTGAAAGTTTGATCAGGTACAATGGTATTAAAAATATTCAAGGACTTCGAATGTCTTTGGAAAAATTTATCTTCAATTTATCTTCTTCAATGACTTGGGAAATTTTTACAATGAAAGATACTCTATGGATCATGATTCATTGTCGCAAGTATGAATTACTTAAGAAAAAGTTCTGAGACTCAATTGAAAGGAAACAGAATCATGAGATAGTTAGATAGACAGATAGAGATAGATAGATAGATAGATAGATAGATAGATAGATAGATAGATAGAGATAGATAAAAAAATAAAGCGAGAGAGAGAGAGAGAGAGAGAATTAGACCACCCCCGAAGACGTAGAATGAACAGTTCCCTGTTCTTCTTCACTCTCTTTGTCCGTAGCATCTATGTAAGAGCTCGCACGCTCACTGCAAATGGCAAATTCATTTGACCCGGCCGTGTGGCCTATTAGCTAGAAATTACATTGTTCAAGAATGGAATATGCGTGTTCATCCAACTGAATCAGCTGAGAATTTCGTGTTAAATCAGAGACAATGAATAGCGTAAATATTCCTAAATGAATAGCGTAATAATTGAATAATTCGTATATGTAATAATAGATTCTTTTCTGTTTGCGAATAAAACAAAAAAAAAAAAATGTTGTTCCATCCAAGAACTTTTGCACGATCCTATAAATAATATAATAAATATAATAATAAATTGAATTGTGCATTTGTCGTTGTTTTTTTTTTTTTTTAATTTTTTTATTAATTTGTACAAATAAAACATAACTGTACTGTTAGATGAAAGTACCTTTGAAGATAATGCAAACGTGTGCTTGATTTTTTTTACAATGAAAGTTTTTCAAGATTAATGATTATTTTTCTGGACACATTTTATCTTTCGTTCCATCAATGATTTCAACATAACTAGGACGAAGAATGGGTCTTTCGAAGGACCCGACGACAGATCGTTGCCTTTTCTTTTTTTTTCTCTCTTGACAAACCCTAAAACAAAGTAATTACGTACCACTCACTTGGCAGTCTAGACAAACCTAAAAGAAAATGATGGTAACCAGGATAAACATCGAGACATTCCCGTTGTCATAGGAAAACGCATGACAAGCTCATCTTTTCAGTTTCCCCATGAATAATCTTTTAATAAGTCTATAATTATATGATTGTTGTTTCAAATGTTTCTTTTTTCCTTTTTTGTCTTTTTTTTTTTTTCTTTTTTTTTTTTTGAAGAACAACCAAAACGCTCATTAAGATCTTCAAAATTTCATTTCACGCTTGTAACCTTTCCCTCAAAGTTTTTTTCTCTAATTCTTATCTCGTGAGCGATAGAGATGACTCATAGACAAATTAGTGCATCGTATTTATATATTTTTTCTTCTGATAATAAAAATAAAAGAAAAAAATAAATAAATAAATAACCGAAGTTATTCTCGTTTTATTATTTTTAAAAAAAAATGTAAACTCCTTCAAATCTTTTTATTAAGTCAATTCTATTTATTAAGACACATACATACACTTGTCAAAAAATTCTTTAAGATATCTGCTTAAATGAAAGAAGAAAAAAAAGCATATATATATACATATATATATAATTGCGTCAATAAAATAGGTCAACTATCCGGGATCGTAATTGATCCGACGTAATATAACTCGAAACGAAGCTATTAAATTTCGAAGATGAGTCTCTCTCTCTCTCTCTCTCTCTCTCTCTTTTGAGATCTCTTTTAAGAAAAGGAGAATCGAAATCATGCTTTCACTTTTCTAAGCTCGTCCCTCGCTCGAGAAAACTCGATAACCCTCTTTACAAATTCATCCTTCTCGTTTTATTCTCTCTCTCTCTCTCTTTTTTTTTTCTTTCTTCCATTTCGAAAGAGAGGATTTTAGAGGGACTGGCACACGTTTCTCGTTGAACCGAACGTAACGAGGATAAATATTTACTCGAATGAGCAAGGACCAACCAATACTAATTCGTTCGAGAAATAGAACGGTGTTAGATATAGATCTTACACCAAAAGTGTAAGTACTTACAATCTACCTGCTCTCTTTTCGTCCTTCAACTTCCTATACCCTTTCTATACCTTTTCCTTGATACGGTTGTCGTTCAGGAAACATGTAGACGGGTTTTACCTAATACCACTCGATTAGGGTTTAAGACCTTCCTTTTCGGCTATTCATCCAAATGGCAGAATAAGAATATCCTGGCTATTCACGATCACTAAACTTAAACGAACCGGCCAACACCGTCTTACATCGACGTCAGGTATAACTACTAATCTTTCTTGATGGACTCATAAACGTGAGAAAAAGAGTTTAGAGTTATCTTAACTTGAGTACTCATTATTGTCAATGTCAGTTAAATACTTTCACGAAAATTGCCTTATTATTGTTAAGGCATATTTATAATGATACTGTGGTTTCGATTTTCAAAAAAGAAAAAAATTAAATAAATAAGACGTATATCCATTTTTATATAATAATAATAATAATAATAATTATTATTATTATTATTATTATTTTAACAATAATTATTTTTATAATAATATTTTTATCACATGCCTTTTATATCAAATAGAAAAGATTTGGAGTTGTACGAAACAATAAATATTTATCGTATGTCTTAAATCGTAAAAATTGATTGAATTGAATACACGAGATTCATTTTTTTAATTACATTCATTATATCGATTTCTTTAGATTAATTATTATAAAAAGAAAATAGTAAATGGACAAAGAATAAAATTTAATTACTATTTACATTAAATATCAAAAGCTTTTATAAAACGTACATTATGGAATTAGGATATTATAGGTATTCTAAAATTATATACATATATATATATATATATTCATTCAAACGATGGTTAGATCATTCATAGAATTAAAGTAAAAAAGTTTGAAGAGAGGAAATAAACATCTTTTTCTTCGAAGTTACTTAAACGTTTCTTCCGTAAAACGAAGACGTATCGTGAGCGTGTTCATTGTTCTCTGGCACGCGAAACTGATTCTTCCGTGGCGGCTGAAAAGAGAGAGAGAGAGAGAGAGAGAGAGAGAGAGAGAGAGAGAGAGAGATGGTGATTCAAGATACTTTCTCTCTCTCCTTCTCTCTCTTATTGCTACAGGGCGATTGTTCCGCGTTATGGGTGGCGAGCCGCTGAAATAATACCCTCGCTCTAACGAAACGCTTTTCAAAGAGACCAACATGCCTCGCGAGATCTACCCTAACGAAAAAAGTAACATCGAAGAAATCTCAAGGATCCATTAAACATTTTTTATCGAGCGTAACAACATTGAGCACAGGTGTATAATTCATTGAAATGTAATTTGAATAATTACACCATTGATTACATTATTGAATTAAATTTATTCCTAGAACAAAAAGAACAATTACTTCGTAATAATTAAAATAAACAATCGATTATATCGTTTATATGTTAAACATTGATAGATGAAAGAATGATTTGTTTGACAATGATTAAAATAAATCATTGATTAGATTGTTTCGATTAAACCGTTCGATAACTCTAGTTTATTAATTAATTTCGATGAAATAAATAAACGATTACTTATCCACCCATCCTTCCCATTTATTACGAGGAAAAGAAAAAGGAAAAAAGGGAAAAAGAAAGTAGACAAAAATAAAATAAAAGATGAAAAATAATTGCGTCAAATTGATAAAGTTCATGAGATAAAATCGAATGTTTCATCTTAGATATTTCATTCAAAAGCATTGAGAGCTGAGAGAGATCAGTTCTGCCGCGTGCAAAAAGTGGAACGAATCGAAAGGTTTGCAAAGAAAGAAAGAAAGAGAGAGGGAGATAGAGAGAGAGAAAGAAAGAAAGAAAGAAAGAAAGAAAGAGAGAGAGAGAGAGAGAGAGGCCCTCTCTTAATTACGACGCCTTGTGCGAACTCTATTTCTTGACTACCGTTTAGCGCTGCCGGGCTTATAAGCCATGGCTCCTATAAATCGAGTTCGAAGAAAGAGAAAGAGATAGAAAGAAAAAGTGAGAGAGAAAGAGAGAAAAAGGGGAGAGAATTGAACGTAAGCTAAAGAATGAAAGAGAAAAAAGAGAGAGAGAGAGAGAGAGAGAGATATCCTTAATACCGTGGCAAAATCAATTTACCGTGGGTGGCTGCTATACATATCGAAGCTCGTGCTGTAATTAAATTGTTACTTCGGGCGGACCGCACGCCAATCGACATGGGCGGCCACTGAACACCCACACGTATATCTCATACTCTCTCTTTTCCTCTTTCTCTCTCATTCTCTCTCTCTCTCTCTCTCTCTCTCTCTATCTCTATCTCCTTTCTCCATTCTCTCTTACACACTCTCTTTCTAACGTATTTACGATCCTTTTATACCAAAGCGTGTCCTCTATTAATAACCGGACGTATTAATGAATCCACCAAAGGAATCTTCCTCGTCGACTTTCTTCCCTGGTACGTATGCACCAAGTCACGTGGGCGGAAACGTTCGTAGGCGCCGGGAGGAACTCGAAAAACTCGAAGAAGAAAAGACTCGGTTGTCCTCTACCCACCCCCCCCTCCCCACCTCATTCCACCTCAACCTCCTCCAACTTACCCACTCTATTCTTCAACTATCCACCCACCCTTTCCTATCTCTCTTTTCGTTTGTTTTTTAACTTGTATGATCTCGTTCATACACGTCTCTCCTCTTGTTCATCTTTTCTTTTCTTTTTTTCTTCTTCTTTTTTTTCTTTTTTCTTTTCTCTCTTTTTTTTCTTTTTTTTTTTTTTTTGTTTTTCAATTGGAATTCAAAGTATCCTTAAAGATATGTTTAATATGTAAATATGTACATGTAATATCAAATGAGAATAAATCGTATCTTTACGCGTGTGCTTTAAATAAAAGACGATTTCTTTTAATTATCCTTCGAGGTAGCTGTATTTTAATGTTCACAATTCTTCGAGGCAACCCTATTTAACCGTGGCTTGGTCCTTCTTCCTTTTACTATGTATGTAGTATCTACGTCCGACGAAAAAGAAACGAAGATCCTGACTATTAATCATCTTGGATAGATGTTGCACGATAATTTATTGATTTCACGGTATTACGAATGGAAGATTACATCGTCCAGTTAAGAGCCCACGTTTTCGGCCTTAGGCCGATCTTATCGAGCGTCGAATCATCGTGGGCGTTTGAATCTTACATATGGTCTTCTACCTTGCCGTGCATCAAATACCACAGACATATTTTCTTCTTTTTCTTTCTTCTATATCACGTAGATAGGAATAGATATGAAAAAGAGAAAAGAAAAGAAAAGGAAAAAGAAAAGGAAAAAAGAAATCCTTTCACGAAGAGAACTAAGAATTTCCTATTAATAAATACGATGATGTCTCTTAGGGTTCCTTTTACCTTATCTCAGATTTAAAAGGAATTTTTTACTCGATGAAAACCTCGAGAATCTCCCAAAACACTTTTGATAATTGAAAAGGTTTAAAGATTTGAGTGACGTTTGTTTTTGGTCCGACTATTATATAAACAAAAATGATATTTTCTATTTAAGAGAACCGTCGTAAACCTTGACGATGATAAAATGCATTATCTAATCTGACCTTCAAATCTATTCTTGGTAATATTTACTTTGGGAGAAATCTATCATTAATGTTTACCCAATATATATATATATATATTTAATGAATATTACAACTTGTAATTGAAATGTTCATATAATAATGTTTATTACGTTATTTGATGAATGTCAAATAAAATTTGATCAAATTTTTTTCATACGAGTGAGAATGTCTTTGGATCAATTGTCAAGTTCCGTAAACTCGAGAAATTCGATTGAAAAATCTTCCTTTGTATTTATCCAATTATCTGTCTCTTTAACTCTTTTTTTTTTTTTCTTTTTAAGGGTTGCACGGATTTCTTCTCTTAAAAGTACGTAGAAAACGAGTGCTCGCTCACGTAACGGTCGGGCTTGGCAATTAAGCTTCCATCGGAGCAACTTGAAAGCCCGCAGATGCTGA